AGTGTATGAATTCAAAAATTTGTAATGAATTATCAATTTTTATGCAATCCAAAATTTTTTTTTTTGCATTTTCAATTTTATCAATCTATTTTCATTAGTTAAAAAAAAAACCATCATACGGCAACGTTTGCCAAACGCAATGTTTGCCAAACATTGCGAAAGACTGTCTTTCGCAACATTTGTCAAACGTTGCCGTATCTCTCTACTCTACGACAAAATTTCGATTTGCAACACACGTTCAAAAGTTGCTGTTGGCCTACGACAACATTCTTTAAACGTTGTTGTAGGCTGTTTTTGTTGTAGTGACATCTTTGTGTGTATGTTCAAGAGTTTATAGACCATTTATAAATGGTCAAAAGTGCGTCAAAATAATTTTTATTCACACATTGTGTGATATGCAAAAATATTACTCACTTATTCACCACTTATTTTAATTTATTTATAAATAAAGTCATTTATAAACACTTTTCATGCAAGCTCGTGTATCATTTCTAGCCTAAACAAGCCTCAATGAAGACAAATATTTTATAGTGGGATTTGGAGAGAGATTACGTCAAGAGATATTTCCTCTTCTCATTTGTCTCATTTCTCGAAATTGTGTTTCGATATTAATTTCTATAATAATTAATATTTGAAAATATTTAATTAAGTTCATGCACAAAAAATCAACATTCGATAAATTGCCTTTTAGAATTGTCTATTATTGAATAACGACAATTTTTTTTATTTATCTAAAAGTAAATTTTGCTGTAATTAAGAGATTTCTCCCAAATTAAAATATTCAAACAATAACTTCGTGAATTTTGGTCTTACAAGTAAAACATAAAACGGCTTCCAAACTTGATTATATGCTTAATTAAATAATTCCCAATTTTTGGTAACCAAAATTGCTAGAAATAACTAAGAAATCTTTGCATTTGAAAATTCATTTCAGTTAATCATTCATCTAATTGACTCTTTTCCTCTCCTAATTGTATTAATGTTTTAAATTACCAAATCCTCACGCGAATATGAACTCCAGAGATCTTTTTATTTTTTCAACTGCTACTATTTGTGCACAAAAAGTTTATCTGTTAAGACAATTTCTAGCCAATATCGAATATGCATAATTTTACATCTATTTTTCATTCTCCAAATAATTTGTATGTGAAATTTGGCAAACTAAATAAGAAAGATAAATACGTGAAATGGTTCGTCCAACAAATTAAAAATGGTTCTAGCCATTTGTACAGTAATCAAGCCGCACAAATGCACCAGAAAACTCACAAATGGGTGGGCCCCACCGTGTATTAAAAAAATAAAAAAATGCGCGGGCCCCACATGGTGTGAGTATTCTGGCCCATTTCTGTTGATTTTCCCTTCTGTACGTGTAGTGTGTTTCATTAAAAAATCGTCTATCTTTTTGTGTCCGAAAATTTGGGGAACTCAAATACATTAATGATTAATTGTACAACCAAAGAGCATATTTTGAACTCGAAAAAGTTCGTGAAAGTTTTATTTCTCGTCTTTTTTTAAATATTTCTCTTCTTCCATTTTTTTCTTAAGAGTCGTGTCGGTGGAACTCTTTAAGGATTTTTACAAATTCTTTTACATGTTTCCTTTCTATGGATTTTGTTCCATATTTTCCCTTAATTTTGGCATATTTTTAGTGTGTTAAACTAAGCACAGTTGATCATGTGAATATACAAGTACCATACATACACGTCTCTGTCCATAATATAAAAGCACTAAGCACAGTCGAACAATGAATCTTGCCATTTCTACTGTGCCTTTTTGTTGTTTAGTCAAAATAGGGGATGATGATTTTTTCCGTACATCTGGACAATAGGTACACAATGAAATTTTCTTTGTATTATACCATTCCCTGATAAATATCAAATGTCAATATCATCCATCAATCACCCATGACCGGCTTTCATATTTTGGGGACATTATGCATTGATACTATGTCCATTGTGAATAATGTCTTTACTCGATAGAAATTAAAATCAAAATTTGAGCAAATTTTGATAAAAGTTGATGGAATGTGTAATTGAAAAGTTGTAAGTCCTATGAAATATATGATTAAAAT